GTCTAATTGTTTAATTAAAGTAACTAGTACAAAAATAGTACAAACTGGTGAAGTAACTAGTATAAACATACTAGTGTGGGAACACACAACTGAGTCTTTGTAAGCATAAAATCCACAGGTCATGACATCCTAGACTGCAAGCCACGAGCCTGAGTGTCAATGTAACATGGTGCCAGTTGGTGGATTTTAAAGAAAATCTAGAAAAGAAGTCAGCAAACTTTTTCTACAAAAGGCCTGTTAGTAAATATTTTAGGCTTTGCAGAATGCACTGTCTCTGTCGCAGCTAGAGTAGTGTGAAAGCAGCCAATGTAGTGTGAAAGCAGCCACAGTAAAAGCAGTGATGGACTATACATAAACAAATGGGCATGACTTTGTCCCAATAAAACTTTATTTACAAAAACAGCAGCAGCTGGATTTGGACCCTGAGTTGTAGTGTGCTGACCCCTGACCTACAGGGTGTTAGCTAATCTGCTAAATTGGTTAAATGAGATAAATAAGAGGCTATAATCTACTATGGGTTACAAGAAACCTCACATTTATGAGTGTTAATTACGTATCAAACATCATGTCTAGGGAATGGTTTCATCCACAAGCTGAAACTGAGGATAGGATTTCTACTTATCATTTCATTAAGGATGTAGTTTAATATAATGGTAAACAGCCTGGCCACCTCAGCCAGGCTGCCTGGGTTTGAATCTTGGTCCACCATTTCGTAGCTGTGTAACACTGAGCAAGTTAATTAACATCTCTGTGCTGCATTCCCTTTTCTAGAGTCCCCATAAAAAGAATGGGAATAATGATGGTTGCAATTCATAGGGTTGTTGTGAGGATTAATGAATTAGGTGGAGTACTTCAAACAGAGCCTAGGATATAGTAGGTGTTCAGTAAATGCCTGGTGGTGCTGCTGGTAGTAGTATAGGTATATGGGATTTTTCTTTGGCACTTACATTTTTCTGCTTTCAGTATCCTCTTCTCCCTTGTGGCATCTCCCCTGATTTTTCTTATGCTTCCTTCTGGCTACATAGCCCCTCTTGCTTTGACCTTGACCCTCATCCTACTTATCCTCCCAAAACAGTGTCCTGAGTTCTGGCCTCTTCTCTCTACCTACCCTACTTAAAGAACTTACCTGAACCCTATAACTTTCAGTAGGGAATTTCTATCTGGAGGACCACCACAGGGCATCTTTGGGCAAATTAGGAAAAGGCACCCCTCCTACTTGAGGATAAGGCCCTAAGGGTACAGGAGTTGGTGAGTACCTCATGCTTTTGTGTGAATTGTAATAAGGCGGCCCTCCACTCTAGGCAGATGCAGCCCATGCCAGAGTCCATACTTGGCAAGCAGAGGGCATCAGCCCCCATCAACCCCTGTAATTCATTCATGTGGTTCCATAATAACTGGTGGATGTTGAATATCCCTCCCAGGTATGTGAGTTTTATGAGGATACATTCTCTTATCTCCCAAAAAAGGAGTCATTAGAGGTTAAAAATTGATACTTTATGGCAGGTGGCAGTGGGAATAATTTATAGGTAGAACTGCCTTTCAGTTTTCATACTAGTAGGTCATTCCAAGGGTGTTTAAGGAGCTTAGGTCCACCAGTTTCACATTTCTGAACGCTGAAGAAAAGATAATTGAGATTCTTTTTAGCATTGAATCAGAGTTGCATGTACCTCTGGCATCAAGCAGCAAATGTTCCCTGAATTTTTCATGACGGCACCATTGTTTTCTCAGCTCATCAGCCTTGCATTTCTGCCTTGCTATTTAGGATGACCAAACCCCACTCCACATTTCAGCCCGACTGGGGAAGGCAGACATAGTACAGCAGCTGTTGCAGCAGGGAGCATCTCCAAACGCAGCCACGACTTCTGGGTACACCCCGCTTCACCTAGCAGCCCGAGAGGGACATGAGGATGTTGCCGCTTTCCTTTTGGATCACGGAGCATCCTTATCTATAACAACAAAGGTAAGAAAGCGAGTCTTGGAATCCTACTGTGTACCCCAAAATACATCCTCCTTACAGTTCCCAGAACAGTGAAGGACACAAAAGCTGCACAACAGCATCTGTACTTGGGATCCCAGGGTATTCATTAACATGACCAGCAAAGCCCAGGGATGGAGTAGGGTCGTTGTTCATATTTTGTGGGTTTGGTTGTTTTTTGTCTTAAGTTTCTCAGTACATTATCTTCTAATGAAACCTTACTGATATCTAGAGTTGGAGATTTCTTACCAGTTATTTAATAGACCTAAATGGTAGTTTAAAAACACACGTACAGATCTCTCTTGCTGAAGCCTAGTATACAAACCACATTATCAAAGCTCAGTGGTAGATGCTTTTATAATACTTTCAAGTCAGTAGGTAAATTTTTCTTGGGTTGTTTTTTTGTTTGTTGTTGTTGGGGGGGGGGATGTTGTCATTGCTATGACAACAATGGTTTCATTTTTTTTGGATTTCAACTCTGATGCCTTAGAGTAACACCCTAGCATACAGTTGCTCTTTTCAAGTCAGTAGGTAAATTTTTCTTGGGTTGTTTTTTTGTTTGTTGTTGTTGGGGGGGGGATGTTGTCATTGCTATGACAACAATGGTTTCATTTTTTTTTGGATTTCAACTCTGATGCCTTAGAGTAACACCCTAGCATGTGCAGAATGTGAAATTTGGAGCTCATTTTTCTTGTGATGTTGCATAAATCTAGCAAGTGTGATAGCAAGATGAATTGGCTTATGGCATGTCTTAAAAAGCTAGTAATTGGTGTTGTACTCTCTTATTTGGATTCAGATAAGAAGGATTAATGTGTACCCAATGCAAAAGATGATTACAAATACTTAGAAAACTATCTGAATAAATGATGACTACCTCGAATGTCACATGATTCTTGGGCTTTTCAGTAGAGTTGAGATCCAAGTTCCTGTATCTCATTTAATATGTGAAACAGAATAATAAGTGATGGGGTTTTGGGTGCTCCAAGCCCTTCATTATGACAGCTACCCATTGGTTGTAGTTTGTTGTAGTCTCATGAGGTCAAATGTGTTGATAGCCTTCCCTAACGGAGCGTGCTGATTGACTGGTTGATACCAAGATCCTTGGAGGAGTTAGAAGCAAGGGAGAGCAGTCACTTAACTCTCAGCAGCCAACTCTTGCATATTTGTTGGGCTAGAACCATGTGCCATTATTCAGTTTACCTGTAGTGGTAAAGGTAAGAGAATGTCTGATTCCTACTCCTGAAGACTAGAGCATATGGGAGGACATGAGTATATGTGGGGAAATACGGAAGAGAAAGTGTTCAGTCTGATGGTGTGAGATCGTGAGAGGTCCAGACTTGCTCTGTATTTTTTCAAGCCCTCCAAGTTGGGTCTGGGACCCTGTAACCTATTCTTCCCACATGTAAAACCCCAAAATAGCTCTGGAATAAGCCCCAGATCCAGCTCTTCACCTTCATTCTGCTTAGATCCCTGATTAGTTCCTTAATTAATGGCATGTTTTGGCTCAGTCAGCAGAGGAAGAAAGATTAGAGATCCTGGAATGTTCTGTTCATCACTATTGATAAGTGGACTCTTTAACTGTTATCTATGAGCCTTGGTTCTTAAATGCAGACTTAACTGCTCATGAGCCTTAGAATAATTCATCAGTTCCAGAAAAGCAATGCCCTTTTGTCATCTCTATTATTCCTTATTTTTGTTTCTGTTTTCAGAAAGGATTTACTCCCCTTCACGTGGCAGCAAAATATGGGAAGCTTGAAGTAGCCAATCTCCTGCTACAGAAAAGTGCATCTCCAGATGCTGCTGGGAAGGTATGAGACCAGTGGCCACCCTGTCACAGGCCACTTCCATGATAACAAAACAAGCACTTGCTAATGTTCACCAGCAGCCACCCAAATTATAACTAAAGCAGATTTAAGTCCCACTAGGATGAAGAGCACTTGGGAAATAGGACGTGAATGCTGGGGCCCCCATATTGCAGAAACTGGAACTGTGTTCTATGTTGCCTCCAATCTAATCCCATTTCCTGCATCTAGGCCTCTGATGTTAAGACACTTTTGACACTGGTTGTTGTTTCTGCACGTGTTTTCAGAGTGGCCTAACTCCACTGCATGTAGCTGCACATTATGATAATCAGAAGGTGGCCCTTCTGCTTCTGGACCAAGGAGCCTCACCTCATGCATCCGCAAAGGTAACTGTCATTCCACAACATGAGGACACTGGCTGGTTGTGTCTCTCGGTCTTGTACATCTACTTTTGCTTCATGTGTCGTGCCCTCCTAGCTCAGGCACCACTTAAAAACCACAGAAATCGAAGTGCCTTAGGAAGTCTCTGTCTTAAGCTATTAAGTCAACTAATATAGTAGGTGCTCAATAAATACTCACTTGTCAGTTGATTTTCCTTGAAAAGCCAGGACATCCTGGAGCCTGGGGAGGAACAGGAGTTGGAGTACTCTTTGGCCAGATTAAAGACATAAGCACAGGGCTGGCCAGTTAGCTCAGCTGGTTAGAGCGTGGTGCTCGAAACACCAAGGTCAAGGGATCAGATTCCCATACCGGTCAGCTGGCAAAAAAACAAAAACAAAAAAACGTAAGCACAGTCTGAGGGAGTTAGAAAGTTCTAATGGGTGACAATTATGAAATATGCATTACAATTTCCCAGCCATAAAACATTGCCTTCCAGTTGTTTATTTGTGTTTAATAAAATAGGTTGAGAGGTTATTATTGCTAAGGAGAATCTTTATTCTTATTATTAAGCCATTTTTGACCAGTAGACAGCTTAGAGCTTTTTTCCCTAAGAAAAAAGATGAATAGAGATACAGATATCTTACTATTCTGGTATTCTGATTTGAGGGGCAAATCATAAAGAAGTATTTATTTAAAGACAGGATAATAGGGCCAGCCCCATAGCGCACTCGGGAGAGTGCGGTGCTGGGAGCGCAGCGACGCTCCCGCTGTGGGTTTGGATCCTATATAGGAATGGCCGGTGTTCTCACTGGCTGAGCACGGTGCGGGTGACACCACACCAAGGGTTGCGATCCCCTTACCGGTCACGAAAAAGACAAAAAAAAAAAAAAAAAAAAAAAAAAAAAAAATGACAGGATAATAGAGTGCTATTGATTTAATAAGTTCTCTGTTGTTAAGCAGGTGCCTCTGATCAGAGAACACTAGAATGATACAAACGGCAATTTAAATATTGTGTAACTTTTTTTCTAAATACTATGGTTGCAGGGCCCTTTAGTATCCCTAATGCTTTTTACACCTTTCTTTTACTATTCCATTTTGGGGCAGCTTCAGTTTTCTCCTTTAAACTTCGTGTTTAGATCAAATCAATTGTACGCATAGATTGATGAACTTGGGCTGTTCTAGATTTCTTTAGCTACCTTAAGAGATAAAGTTTTAGGTACTTTCTTCATTTAGGAAGTATATTGTCTTTGGCTGGTGTTTCCCCTCAGAACCTCTTTCCCTGCATTTTTCAGTCACGTCCTGTCCCATCCTCCCCAAAATTGTACCCAATGAAATCTACAATTCAAAATCAAACTCCCAAACCTGCTTTTCTTCTAAATGCAACTTCCCCCCCGCCATAATTTCTGACCCTGACAAACATTTTTTCTATCATAAAGCCATGCCTTGACTTGATAAAACTTCATCTGAAAAAAAAAAACAAAACCAAAACATAGCATTATTTACAATAGTCAAAAGGTGGAAATAGCCCATGTCCTTTGATGGATGAATGGATAAACAAAATGTGGTGGAGATAGATATACATAGATGAGGGTCCTTCAGAAAGGTCAGAGAAAAGTTGAATTAAAAGCTACTATGAATGTTTCCATAAACTTTTTCAAATACCCTCATATATATAATCATTCAGCCTTAGACAGGAAGGAAATTCTGATACATGCTGTTACATGCATAAACCTTGAAGTCACAAGAGGACAGATATTGTATGATTCTACTTATATGAGGTATGAAGAATAGTCACATTCAGAGACAGAGGTAGAATGGTGGTTGTCAGGAGCAGGGGACTGGGGTTTGGGGAGTTAGTGTTTAATGGATACGGAGTTTCAGTTTGGGAAGAAGAAACATTCTGGAGACGGATGGTGGTGATGTTTGGAGAATTATATGAATAAATTTAATGCCACTCACCTGTACACTTAAAAAATGCTTTACATGGGAAACTTTGTTATGGTAATTTTACCATAATTTTAAAGAGAAAAATATGTAATAGAATTTAATGGTTGTCCATTTTATTTCAGCTTTTTTAAATATCCCTGGGCATGTTGGCTACTTTTCTTATAAGTTAAGAAACGAGTAAATAATTAGTAAGTGAACTGTTCATTCCTCACATGAAAGTAATTACTTTTGCACAGCTCGTGTTAAGCAGTTTAGAATTGAGAAGTTATAAAATAACAAGTGCAACAAACTCATTTTGTTAAATGAGTTAAATCCTCCTTTCTATCCACAAATAGCTCCTAAACAGGCCAGTAGTTTGTACACCTGCAGTTGATTTCCAGCGTTACTAGGATATTTGTCCAACAAGACTTAGTATTCATGGTTTCATATCTGCAAAACATCTTCAACAAAAAGTTGAAAGCAGTTCTTTAAATATCTCCTGTAGGGTTGGCTGGTTAGTTCAGTTGGTTAGAGTGCAGCCTTATAACACCAAAGTCACAGGTTTGGATCCCTGTGCTGACCAGCCACAAAAATAAATAAATAAGTAAAATGATTCCTGTAACATCCCATTAGCCTTAGGCATATATTTTACAGTCAGTTACACACAGACTTGTGTAATGGGACATTGATTCTCATTCCCATAGCACAATTGCCTCCGTAAGAGCCTGTGCAATGCCTTCTATGGCACATGTCCAACCATCCCCATCTCCTGGGGCAGTGGTACTGGTCAGGGACTTTGTGTAGACTTTGATCCTGAGCAAAGCCGGTTATACCAGTTAGGCATTGGCTTCATCTACTAGAAAAATCCATACCATGGTTTAAACTGATGAGGATCCATTTTTCTCATGACATAACTAGTCAGGAGTTCGGCAGAGCAGTTGTTGATGTTGGTTGAGATTTCTTTTTCTTTTCTTTTCTTTTTTTTTTTTTTTTTTTTTTTTTTTTT